ATCTACTTGAGGTAAATGTTCAACTCATATGCCTGTCTTTTGTTTGGCTGGAAGCCACAGGTGTGGGTTCAATTCCAGACCTGAAGGGCAGCTAGTCTCAGTGGTTCCTCCAGGCTCTATCAGGCCAGCAAACCTGGTTCCCCACCCCCTTTTTTTCCCCCCACAACTGACTTTTAGTTTTGTTCTACATTGTTCTCCCTCTCTATCCAGGATCTCCTGCATAGATCTCCCTCCAAGTGGTTGACAGTGGTAGCCAGGTACTATCTAGTTCTTCTGGTCTCACAGTCATATAGGCTGTGGATCACATGGTGTACCAGTCACTAGGGCTAATTGTTTCCCTGATTCTCTGGCTGTCTTCATTCTTCTTTGCTCTGGATGAGGAGAGACCCATTATTGCATCTAGATGGGTGTTTGCAAGCTTTTAAGATCCCAGTTGCTACACGCCAAAGTAGGAGGTGGAATGTTTTGTGTAGTATGTTATGCCAATTGAGCTTGATGTCTCCTGCGACTATGTTCCCGAGCCCACAGGTTCAACTACTCAGTCACTCTGGGTAGCTGGCTGTGACCAAGAAGTGACTACAACCATGTCCTTTGTCAGCTCTACTATACACCTGAGAATTCAGATCATATAAATACACTTACAGGACCATTGCCTACCAACCCTATACATGGTCTTGGGTACACTCCCCGCTTCATAGACATAGCTACTAGTTCAGCCTGTCCACCCATCTATCCACCCACATACCCACGTTTGCCTTCACTGACAACGTGGTACTGTATGTGCAAAAGTGTTCATTTTTGTTGTCTGTACCTCCCATGTACCTCTCTATGTCTTCCTCTTCTTCAATGTCACCATGTTAAAGCAATCTTTCTCAGAAATACTTTCAATATGCCAGGGACGAGATATCCACCAATCATCATTTATAAAGTTGACACCTCACATTATTATTAAGCCTTGTCTTTTCTAAGAAATAGGGAGCTCTGCTTGTGTAGTGGTTAAAGCATTTGGCTGCTAACCAAAAAGGTCAGCAGTTTGAACCCACCAGTTGCTCCATGGGAGATGATGAGGCAGTCTGCTTCTGTAAAAATTTACAGCTTGGAAACCCTATGGGGCAGTCCTAATCTTCCCATAGGGCCTCTATGAGTTGGAATTCACTTGATGGCAATGGACTTGGTTTTTGGTTTGGTTTCTATGAAATAAAAATAATTCTATTAACTTTTCTTCAAGTGATGTTTTTCCTTTAAAATTAAACAAACAAACAAACTCTGTGTCCTCTATCTTTTCACTTAATAAAACATAATTTCTTCTGAAACACAAAACAAAGTAAAAGGAGGAAGTTAGGTGAGTTCCCCTTTTCTCACACTTTTAAGTATCTATGCCAATTCTTAATACACTATGAATGGATAAGACTACACTTATTGGGATATTAACTCTGCAAATACCATTTTGTCTGACCAATAAGATAGCCTGTGGATATCTTTAAGGTTTGGGGATTGAAAGGATGCTCTAGACTGAATCTGATCAAAGTGCCACACTTTATGAAGCTGGGAAAATAAGCAATGAACATTCACAAATCACACAATGATGGTATTTTTAAAAGAAGACTTAGGACAACTTTTACTCTATAACTAAGGTGTATTCACCATTTAAAGCATGTGTGCACACACATACTACACATATACACACATATTGTAGGAAGATTCAATAATTCACATCACACATTTTTTCTTAGGCATCAGACTTTGGGCCATCACCCCTTTACTGAGTCTTTCCAAATAACATTCCTAAGCCTGTTTCCAAAGATACATCTCAAAAGCCACAAAGGCCTTTGTCCCCTGTCACTTTCATTTGAAAAGAAGCTGGATGCAAAAGGGTAGATTCAAGCTAATTCCTTGGGCTCCCTCAGTCAGACTGAACCTGTCACTGCTGCCAGAGTTTGGTGTCTTGAGGTATGTTTGGATCCTGGCTGCATTCAGCAATATCCCTCTGGTAATATCACTCTTACAAGAGGGATGCCATCTCTGAGCACTCAGGCAGCAAAGCAAGGGCTGTGAAATAGAGGGAGCAATACTATTTGGAGCAATAACAAAACACAGCCACATATATTTAAATCTCTTGGATAAGCAGCAAAGCCGTATCAGCTTCAGAACCTCTTCTTTTTGATCCTAGTACCATCCTTAGTGGTTATATAAAATGAGTCCTATTCTTGACAAGAAAGTCCTCCTCCTCCTTTCTTAGATGTCTGGAAACAAACAGACATGACAAATAGGGGAGTAGGGTGACACAGAATGGAGTAACAGGAAGGGCTTGGCTTGAGTTCATTTTAGAAATCTGCCCCAATGGAAAAACCTGTCTTTCACAGCCTTTACAGTTTTTGTTTGTTTAGTTGTTTATTTTCCCAGCTGACACAGTGTTAAAAACAATCACATACTCCCACTTTAGGCAAATAAAAGGGATCCAAGAGGCAGGCTTAAGGGTGAGAGCAATTCTTACAACTTAAATCACTATGAGAGATCTATACAGCATCCACAAGAATAAAACAAATAAACCATTTCTATAAATATACTCAACTGTGCATAAATATACACAAAGGAAATGTGGTAACAGGGCTTTCTTTTGGCCCCAGATTGTATTTTTTATTTTAAAATTTTCATATGCAAAAATGAGAGCTTCTTAGCAAAATAAAATAGTTTTTTTTTTTTTATGCTGAACATGCAATACTTATAAACATCAAATAATTGAATTTAGACTTAAGTCTTCTTAAATTTTTTCCCACTACAGCTCCTATGATCTAATTCTCATGCTACGTTGGTTCATGTCTACATTTTAAAAGCATATGCAGAATCCACCACTTGACTCAGCAGTCAGGCTGCATACACTGTACTATCGTTTTCTGGTACCTTTGAAGACAGAGTGGTATTTAATACTGAACATAAGCAGTCTTTTCATCTTACACTACAGAGTAATTGCTTCCCACTTCAGAGGTATAGCATGAGTTATCATCTCAGACTTGCTCTCTAAGTGTTGTGGCCAGCATGGAGAAAGAGACAAGGAACATTATAGGCTTACTCAAGGGAGCCAGATCTTTCCTAACTGATATGAAGAAATCATGGCTAGTCAGGCATAGCACAATGAGAGATACAGCATAAGAAATGACATATGTTATTGGGCCCTGGCTCAAGGAAGTCATTTCTACCAAATGTCCTTAGAATGTGGAAGCTAAACCCTTCTTCGTGTCAAATACACCAGATAAAAATTATAGCAGCATGTGGATGGTATTTATAATTGTATATATTCGAGAGAAACTGTACATATATATTTACTCAAAATTACTGTTCAAAGAATATAATGAAGGTTGGAGGTACAGAATACTTTCCAGATTCTAGAAGCTGATCTGAAGCAACCCAATACTTTCAGAGTTTCTTACTGTCAAGTTGGGTTTACACAGGCTTTCTACATAGTCTAAAGATAATACAGTTTAAAGTCCTGTCAGGCCTGGCCCAGAGTCTACTGTTTCCTGTATTTAATACTCACAAAACAAAATGGAAAAAGGTTCTGGGAAGAGGGGGACAAAGCCATAAACAAATCCTTAGGCATTTTTCATCCTACATCATAGAAGAAACAAGTGAATATCAGAGAAAATGACAGGCTCACATGGGCTTAAACTCAATTTGAATGTCATGATGTCTAAGTGAATATAAAATACGTATTGAAAAGAAAAGTATTTAAATTCCAATTCAACATTATAAACATTGCTCTGGTTAAAATATAAACCCTTACCTTTACTTGTCTCTTGTTGGCTTCTCTTCTTGCTTCCCTTTCTTTTAGCCTTTTCTCCTACCAAAAAAACAAAAAAGAAAAAGAAAACAAAATTTAGTAATATACAAACTTCTTCGATAGATCAGGTGTCAATCAGACTACACATTCATAACAGGTTTTTTTTTTAAAGCCACCTGATATGTGACATTCATTTTCAACAATATTTACTGAGCATCCATTATCAGCTTGGCATATGTTATTTATAATCATTAATTTTATATCACTTAGATCTAGTATCAAATCCCAGTTCTACCAAAGCTATGCAACTTGGGGTAATTTATTTAATTTCTGTAACTCTCATTTTTCTCATCTAAAAATGGAAATTTTAGGAGCACATACTACATGAACCTGACAGGAATCAGGCAACATAAATAAATGCTTAGCATAATGTCTGGCATATGACTGGTAATCAATGTTGACTCATAGATTGAAGAGAAAGAGAAAAAAAAGGACTATTTCTCTTTTTGTCTACCTAAAGGTAGCATTTATTAGAGGATATGAAATCATCATCGCTGGGGTTTGTAAGAAAGTGGAAATATTTTCTCAAACTAAAAAAAAAAAAAGGAGTTAGTGATTCTAAAAAGCAATGGGTTATCATTCTTATGAAAGTAATTATATATATTAATCACTTTATAAATCATCCTTTAGTTTTCTATTTACCGCAGAAAATTCAGCCCTATGATTTTCTTTAAATCATATTTCATATAGTTCTTTCCCTTACTTAAAAAATTTAAATATTACAATTCAAAAGAAAATGACCCAACAATGACTAGAGTCTGCAAGCAGCCATCTAAGAAGCAACTATTTGTCTCTCCTTCCAAGCAAACAGAATAAAGAAAATCAGAGATGATTAGTCCAAAGGACTAATGGATGATGAAACTGAGACCAGCAGAACTAGATGGTACCTGGCTACTACTGCCAACCACTTGGAAAGGGATCAAAATTGGAGATCCCAAATAGAGTGGGAGAGAAAAATGTGGAACAAAACTCAAAAAATATATAAAAAGACCAGGATTACTGGTCAGATAGAGACTGGTGAAATCCCCCAAAACTAAGGCCCCAAGTCACTCTTTGAGCCTGGAATTGGACTCACTCCTGTGGCTAACTTTTAGCCAAACTACACACAGGCCTATGAGCTGAAAAACTATACCAGGGAGAAGAACTCCTTACAAAAATCAACTGTGGGAGATTAGGATGGCAGAATTTGCACAGAAAGTTAGGGAGTCAGGAACGCATAGGCAAGGACACAGGGAAAGGGTAACCACAGGGAAGAAGTGGGAAGAGAGCTGTTACATTGTAGGAATTGTAACCAGTGACACAAAACGTGTATGAATTATCCAATATGCAACGAATCTGCTTTGCAAAATTTTACCCAAATCACAATAAAAAGTTAAGAATAAAAATGAAACAACCCAGCTATAGTTGAAAAAAAAATCGTATTATAATTAAGAAGTATTTTCCCCTTAAAAACAAAGTCTTAAAACAATAAAAAGGCTATTCTTATTCACAGCTGACAATTTATATTTTAAAAAAGTTTTAACTAAGTACTAAATATATTAATTTTCATGAGTAATAAGAAGCTGACACCTTGTTTCTCTATTACCTTAAACATCCATTAAAATGATAGTGGAAAAGCTTTCTAAGTCTGGTCACTATAAAATTATCATTATATTTTATTTACACATTCCAGATTCAGAAACCAATTCTAACAAATGCTTTGAGACAGACCTTAAGTCTGCTCTGTTGCTTACAGCACTGAGAAAGACAAGGAATTGCTACTATACACCATGCCTAGTTTTATAGATTGTTTTATGATAAAGTGAGAACAAAGTATTAAATGACTCCAAAAGGTTAAATACTAATTAACACAAAGAAGAGGAGAGCCCACAGTGTTTACAGATTCAGTTTCTATACCCTCAAACTGCACAACAGGAAAGCTAAATTCTAAGGTAAACTAACAAAAATTCTAATTCATATGATAACTCTGAATGTATCATACACCTTAATAATGTGTAATGTTAAATTAGGCAGTTTCTGTGATTATTGTTCTTTTTCTTCCCTAGCTTTGGAGAAAATGGGTATTACTTAAACTTCCAAATAAAACACACAACTAGTAAGATTGTTAAAACTTAAAAAATGCACACTTATCCAAGAGGAACATTATAAAGATCACTTGGCAGTTCCAGGACAAATGTCAGAGGAAGGAAAAGGAAAGGGACATAAATAAACAGTATATAATGGGTAACAGAAAATATATCTTCAACAAATAACTTATCCAGGTTGCAGAAGAAAAATGGAGTAATCTACTTCTGTAAAGATTTACAGCCTTGGAAACCCAGTGCTATGGACTCAAGAGCAGTGAGGTTTTTTTTTTTGTTGTTGTTTATTTTGTTTTGTTTTTAACCAGAATTCACAAAAGGCAGTAGTGGTGGTTCAGTGGTAGATTCTCATCTTTCATCCAGAGGCACAGGGCTGACTTCCAGCCAATACACCTCATGCATAGCCACCACTTGTCCAACAGTGGAGGCTTGAGTGTTGTATGATGCTGAACAAGTTTCAGTAGAAATTCCAGACAAAAGCGGACTAGGAAAAAAACGTCTGGTGGTTGTCTTCAAAAATCAGCCACTGAAAACACTACTGATCACAATGGTCTAATCTTTGTACATGGGGTTGCCATGAGTCTGCAGCATACTCAAACAGCAGCTAACAACGGTATCAACAGAATTCACATGTGAACACAAATGAGAAAGATTTCTACCATAATTCTAAGATGGATGAAGAACGGTCAAAGATTTTAAAACATGAAATGAACATGGCAAGAACATGAAACATTTCCAATACTGACTGAAACAAAAGAGAGATAATTTGAAGTAAACTATTAGAAAGCTTTTCTTATCTTAGAAAGTTGTGTTATCCTTTTTTTGTGTGTGTGGCTACAAGTTCCAAGACATCCCAGCTGGACCGTGTCATTAGACCTCATTGTCCCCACCCCTTCAGACCCCCAAAACTCCTTAATAGAACAGTATGACCTCAAAAAAAAAAAAAAAAAAAAATCTATGTTATCTATCACTCTGTCTGAAAGAAGTAAAAGCATAAACATTAGTCTTTTAAAAAAGCAGCAAAAGGACAGGAATTATGGTAATCCACAACTTAGGAGACAGAAGAAAGAACTTTTTTATTGGGGGGCTGTGCTAAACTAGGTAAAAAGAAATTCTTTTTTTTTTTAAATATATGAATGACATTCTACTGCTGTCTAGTCAATTCTGACTCACAGCAACCCTACAGGACAGAGTAGAGGTGCTCCAAAGGGCAAAACTAGAAATACTTATGCAAACAGACGGCCACATTTCTCTGGTGAAGCAGCTGATGGGTCAAACCATTGATCTTTTGTTCTGAAGCTGAGTGCTTTAACTATCATGCCAACAGGGCTCCTGTATGAATGATAACCAAAAAACAAAAACAAACTCACTGCCACCGAGTCAATTCCAACTCATAGCAACTCCCACTGCCAAGGTAGTAAATCTCTATAAAAGTAGATTGCTTCATCTTCCTTCTGCACAGCAGCTGGTGGTTTTGAACCACCAATATTCTAGTTAGCAGTCAAATGCCTTGGGCACGGCACCACCAGATTTCCTTGTATGAATGATAGGTGCTATAAATTATAAGGCATAAAGATGAAAGGCTGGATGGATCAAGTACAGTGACTTGAGCCTATAATTTTATTCAACTACAAAATAAAACTGAATGTTATTAGATTCACTAAACAAGATGGGGATTTTTTTTCCTCTGAATTTTACATGGCTTAAATGCTTTAAATCCTTTATTTTTCCATTTCATTTTTGAAGACAGCTTGACACCAAAACTATTTTATGGGACAGAAAAAGAAGGCAAAATTTTCTCTTTAGTTCTGCCATGCTATAAAAGATTAAGTAAAAGGAAAGCATGAAATTCAATAATGAAAATCAAATTCACAAGGGACAAGAAAACAGAAAATCACATTTCAAGGTACAAAATACTCCTTTTATAGATGTTATTGTATTTCTTTTGGCTTCTCACACACTGTTAGTCCTTAGTTTCCAGAAAGAAAGTGCTATGAAATAGGAATTTCATCAGCAGTCATGACTATGGTATCTATGGTGATACTAGGAAATGTATAGATTTGGAAATACAGCTCATATTTTTCAGGAGGTAGAAGAAGAATAACTCACTTGTATGAGTCTCAGGAAATTACGACAGGTTGATAAGGAACCAAGTCCTCAGCTATCACATACGGAAGAAGCAGACATCTATCCTTATTTCAGTATTATAGAACGTCTTTTCCGAGAAAAAAAAAATGTATCAACAAAAATGACTAGAAGAATAATTTCAAGAATTTTAGACCCTGAAGACACAAGGGTCTAAAATCCTCAAGATCTAAAATCCACAATCCTCCACAAGAACAAACTCCCAGAAAAGCCTAAATCCCTCCCAGGAACTCAGAATACACGTTTCTTTGATCTTTTGCCTATTCTACAGAGTTTGGTTTGAACAACATAAAAAACAGTACCTTCTGTATGTCACTAACAACCAAAAGAATATGAAGACAGACAGAAAAACAGATTAACATGGAAACACTGACTCACCAATTCTTTCAAACGTTTAGTGAGCACTAATGTGTGAGGCTCTGAGTAATAATGAGCATCACAGTCCAGCTTCTGGTGGCCTTTGTAGTCTATGACCTAATCCTGTTTGTTGTTGTTGTTGTTATTTGCCGTGAGTCAGCCCTGACTCATAGCGACCCCTCCTTGGGTTTCTGAGGCAGTATCACTAGGGAAGTAGGATTGCCCAACCTTCCTTCCGAGGAGTGGCTGGTGGGTTTGAACCGCCAGCCTTCTGGTTAGCAGTCAAGTGCCTTAGGCACTATGCTACCAGAGCTCCTGTTAGTCCCCTTAATTCCATTAGGAAAAAAACTGTGCTCCCTGCTCCTAGATGGAGTCTCCCAATAGCTATTCACCATCAATTTTCTAACCTCTCTCTCT